GCACGAAATTTGTGATTGTTTGCAACAACTCTCTCTCTCGTGCATACCTCTCACGTGAACATCGACTTCCAAAGGCCACGACACTACTGGCCGAGATCCCCAACGCTACTGTTTCTCAACTGTAAGTCAACCCCGACTCAACGCTATATTCAACTCCCACTCAGCTTACACACGACCAAGACTTCATTACTCCGACGAGAATCCGACCTAGCAAGGTAACGTACTAACTCTTTTATTCCCTCTACTATAGAAAACTTAAAGGAGATAACCACTATTTGGGACAGAACCTTCCAATCGTTCGAGCCGATGACTTCAACTTTGGCGTTCGACTCCTCCACTAAGTAAATCGACTGCTCTCTTCTTACTTTATTCTGGTTTTGCTAAATTAAATCTCGCCTTTTCCTTGACAATGGAACCACCACATAGAATAAATTGAGTCAACAAGGCACCATTGGTTTTCGGGTAGTCTAGGTAAGTCGTAATCCCTCTCAAATTTTAGTTTTAAACAACAATCACACATACATAAAAAAACAAAAACAAAAAAACGAACTGGAAAAATAAAGAAATTGGAGAATAATTCCTCGAAAAACATACCTTTATTGCTTTATTTGTTTTTCAATTGTAAGATTACAACAATATTTCCTTTGGCACTTTTTTTGCACTTGTAAAATTACTGATATCAAATATATTTTTCTTTCGAAATGTTTTCCTTCCTTTCTTGTTCTCTCTGTTTCTTGTGTGAAATCCCCCTCCCCCAGTATATCTTTACAAACTGCTAAAAACCAATGTTAACTTCTCTCTCTTTTTCTTTGCATGCAACTGTTGTCCATTGGGCTTGAGACAGGCCTCCAGCTGGTTTGGACTCATTTGGGCTTGATTTGGGCTTGTAGTAAAGCCTGCAAGCAATAAAAACATAAGCAATATTAATAATAATATTAATAATAATTATAATTTTAATTATTATAATAATAACAATAATAGTTATAATATAATATAATATTAATAATTATAATATAATATTTATAACCCGGACAAAAATGTGTGTCTACAGTCAATACTCTTATTTGGGTATTGATATTATCACAATTATATCGATACTCCTACACAATTTTTGATACCAAAACCATATTTAAAATGAGAAAACAATTCTTATTAATTTCTGGCATCGATACTTAGATTAACAATTTGGCCTTTTTAAATCACAAGAAATCCTAAACATCTTCTTAAACATCAAGCAACCTACAATTCTTAACATCGGAATACACCCCACATACATTTACATTTAGATCCTAACAAGAAAGTTATATACAAAATTTTATTCATTAATTTGATCATCAACTATGTCAAATTTCCAATCAAATTTTATTCATTTTATAAATTTACAAAGTATAGTCATTAGTCTTTTTACCTTAATTACCGGTCAATCATTTAAAACATGTATCATTGCATTCTTTACTTATGTAACGTAACACCCTAACCTAACTTAATTATAAATTAAATCAAGAATCTCAGATTAACTAATTAGAACTTAATTAAAGTTGAATTAAAATTAAATTACACGACTAAACATTCAAATATTTATCAAACACTCATTTAAGAACTAAAATATCAAATATATTTGGGCATCTCCAATGCTGCTACACTTTGGAGATAGTATTCTCTCCAGCCCATCGCCAAAAACCATCTTCATTGTGGCGATCTGCGATGTAGCACGGCACTGTAGCTGTGCTACAATTTCTTTTCTTTTTTTTTTTTTGTTATTTTTTTGATTTTTTTAAATTCAAGTAGAATAAATTGCAAGATAGATAAAAATACATTGAAATTAGATAAATAAACATACTATTTTTTTTTAAATTTTTATGATTTTTGTATTTTTTTATGATTTTTTAATTCAAGTAGATTAAATTGCAAGATAGATAAAAATACATTGGAATTAGATAAGTTAAAAAACTATTTTTTTTGTAATTTTTCTGATTTTTTTTAAATTCAAGTATATTAAATTGCAAGATAGATAAAAATACATTGAAATTAGATAAATAAACATACTAATTTTTTGAAACATAAAAACTACAACAAATATAAAAACATAAAAAATACTAATAAAACTCAAACAACATTTTAACCAACAACTCAAACACAACAATTTAACTAATAATCAGACAGACTCCCTCCAAGATCATCAAAGTTCATTCCAAACACATTAAAAGTAGTAGAGGTTGGTTGTTCTTCTTTTCATTTCTGAAGAATTTTTTGTTGTTCGTTTCGAAAATAGTAGCGTCGTTCGAGGTCAGGAATGGTATCTGGATCCATCGCTAGAATCTTGTCCTCTCTCCTCAATTGTGCAATTTCAGACCTTCTATTTATGGCCTCTATTCTTTCCTTTTCCAGTTGAAGAGCAAGATCCCTTTGTGCCTTTGATAAAGATAATGTTTCCCGAAGCTTTTCCGTTGATTCATTGAAGGAATTTGCAAGAATAAAGTCTTCTTCGATTTGCTTCCTTTTTGCTTTGGATTTTTTTACACCCTATGGTCGCTGGGAAGAAGAACCACGTGTACTAATATTTTCATCGTTGCTTAAATTGATTTCAAATGAAACAACGAATGGTTAACGGAATCTGAAATATATTCTGGAGGCAGTGAAGAAACTGCACTCGTTTGTGGAAAAGAGTACAATATGGGGTATTATCTAGCTGATGGTATATACCCTAAATGGGCGACTCTTGTGCAAACTATCCATGAGCCAATTGGTCCCAAAAAGAAATATTTTGCGACAAAACAAGAAGCATATCGAAAGGATGTCGAACGTGCATTTGGAGTTCTTCAAAGTCGATTTGCAATTGTGACAAATCCAGCATGTTTTTGGAGCAAAAATGATTTGAAAGATATTATGGCTGCTTGCATAATATGATAATCGAGGATGAACGAGGTCTTAATTCTCCAATTGTAGAAGAAAGAGATGGGCCACCTCCGAATGTCGAATTTGTTGAAGATGAGGAGACTCAATTTCAAGAATTCCTTACCCGATTTAGACAAATCAAAGATGCAACTGCTCATTTTTCTATACGAAATGCACTAATTGAGCATTTGTGGAATGAATATTCTAATTCCGAGAATTAACATATATAATTATGTAACTTATGTTTTTTCGCATTATTATTATGAATTGTAATTTTCTTATTTATTTGTATTTTCGCAATGTTATTTATGAATGTTTTATTTATGTTTTTTTATCTTGATATTTATTAGAAATGTATATGCTTTATTTTATATTTGCAAAATCAATATTATAATAGTTAAATATTGTGAATAAAGTAGAGTTGATGGTAATGTAAAGATAGTACTGGAGATGAATTATTGTTTCATCTTTAAAGTGAAGATATAGATATTGTACAGTAGAGATAGTGATATTGTACAGTAGAGATGAGGACTGGAGATGGCCTTTAGTTCCTACCATTGTAGTTCATTCAAAAGTGGTAAAAAAAAATACAATTTAACTAAATTGGGTCCGTCATTTAACTTTAATATATACATAGCAACACAACCATAATTAACGAAATACTCAAAATATAATAAGTTTTACAAGCCATTGCCACTATCCCATAAGTTCAGAAATAAAAATTAATAGTAAAAAGTGTAAATTAACTTATGAACTTTAAAATACAATTTAAATTAAACTATGAAAATCAAGCTTATGCAAACATAGTAAAACAAATAAAATAATCTTAAGGAAGCTTAGTGAGGTAGTTAAAATAAAACAAATCAAATTATAACTATATAACAAAACATAAACATTTAGCATGATATCGTAATAAAGCAACCACTAAATAGTAATATATAAGTTTCACAGTATTATCAGAGTATTTAGATGTATTTTTATCGACTTTAGTCTGATGATTTATTAGTAGCTTTCGAATACTCATATCTCACCTCCTCACCAAGTATTGATAAGATACAAATACACTAGTCATCCCTTCATCTTGTCCTAATCCCTCTGCCTCATCAAGATTGAAATCTATAAAAAATTTGTACACAAACACTAAACCTTATGACATGGTAGTTGTACCCGAAACTAAACTAATAACCAAAGACTCATTATAAATTTATCGAAATATTGGTAAATAACCATTTCACAGTATCAGCATATATCTTAATAACAATTGAATGAAGCATTAAGCTCACTCACACTTATTGAACATGACAATTCACACATCAAACATACAATCATCGAAATAAAACAATGAAACATGTAACACATACATTATCGAATAGTATGCTAATCAGTTTGACCATAATTTAAGCATTTAATACAATTTATGTACTCAAACCAATTACACAAAGCATATAAACAGGATGATTCCACCAAATCTTCTTGAGCTTCCAGAAAAATCATACATTTTATCAACACATTCCACATTAAACAATATTAATCAAAGATGGCAACTTACGTGGATGACTCAAGCTTTTAATTTAAAGTTTAAGGCTACTTACCAAGCTTACAATCTTGATCAAAGATGACAACTCACTATTTTCTTTGCTACAGTCATTTACTTTGTGCCACATGCTACTAATACTTTTTAGTCTTCTTATTGGTTATATTCATTAAGTGTTGAATTACATATTGTCAACCAGAAAGATTAAAGAACATTCAATTTACGTTTAAAGATTAAAAAGTAATGAATTTAAAATTTTAAAATTTAAATAACGTCATTAATTATAAATAATAATGATGAGTGGTGATGAAAATTTTGATTGAATTCTAAAATTAATAGAATTTTTAGTCTTTTTGTTAAGAAGGTAAAAGTGAATACAACAAAAATATAAGATTAAATTGTTTTCTCTTTAATTTAGAGGTAAAATTGAAAAATAATTGGTTTTTAATATGTTAAGAAGATTAATTTTATAATTTTAATAATAAAAAATAACAAAATCAAAACGATGATGGCTATGGTAGTTTACGATAGATAATATAATGTATATTCAAATTAAAAATAAAAATAAAAATAATTTTTACTTGTTCCCTTCCTTTCCAAAAGTACCTCATCCCGCCGCTCCACCACACCAGTGCCTCCCCCATGTGCTCTTTCTAAACTCCAATCACCCACCCAGCACTACCAACACAGCAATCCCGCAATGGCGACTGCCGCCGCAGCAACCGTTTCTTCCGACGCAACAGCCACAATTTCGGAGGGCCCCGTCCTTAGTTTCATCAGCAAACGCCTCCGCGCCCTACGCAAGAAATACAATCGCATCCTCCAGATGGAAGAATCCGTCTCCCAAGGCAAACCTTTGAACAAAGAACAAGAAGAAGTCCTCCGTTCCAAACCCGCCGTCTCCGCCCTCATCGATGAACTCGAGAAGCTTCGCCAGCCTCTTTCTGCCGCCGTCTCCGAAGAAATCTCACTCGCCTTACAGCGACAAAACATCTCACCTGAAGAAACAACTTCAGAAGCCCATCCGGACAAAATCGAAACCAAAGAACAACAATCCAATGAGCCCAATCATGAAATCGAGGATCTGCTTAACCTTCTCTATTTCGGGTTATTGTTCGATGTCAAGTCTCAGAATCAGTTTACCTCGACCATGCTGACTAGAATCCACGAGAGAGGCTGTTGCTTAACGTACGATTACGTGACTGACGACGCTACCGATCTGCTTAGTGAGAAAGATTTGGATTTGATTGCGATGCTCAGTGGACATCTGACTTCACGACCTACTGATTCTAGTGTGTCTCATAAAAACGCTTTGCAACGCTGCGCCCAACATGCTAATCTTTGGCTTTCTAACTCCGACCAGCCGATTGATCCCAATGTCGACATTTCATGTAATAATCGAATCTAATCATTTCGTAGGTATTTTAATTCTGGATTTTCTGAATTGGGAGGTTATTTGCTGCAGATGCTGGGTTGAGACAGAGGCTTAACAAGATAATGTCTTTGGATTATTTTACAACAACGCCGGAGATTAAGGATCCTGTTGAAGTGGCTGCTGCTGCTGCTGGGACTTATACTTCTTTCCAGGTTCCAGTGCACAGTGTGCTCATTCCAGTCCCTGTCCAGGTGGAAGATTCAACCGAGCAGTACCAGCCAAAGGTGTTAACTTTGTTTTGGTTTAAAATAAAGGGTGTAGGGTATTTGGTTATTGGATTTAACTTGCATTTTGCTTCTGATATGTGTTTTAGTATAAAAACTTTGGCTTCCCTTTGTCCTTTATGCTCGTCGCCACCGAAATTAATGTTAATTTGTTTCATTTGATGCAAATACCTTAAGTTTCTTTATATATAAGTTAATAGTTACTAAATGTTGGAGAAATAGAGTTTAAATTGTGGCAGCAACCCAGTAAATTATTTTTTTATTTTTTTATTTTTGTATATGTGAAGTTAAGAGTTACTGCATTGACATTAGAGAGTTTAAGCTTATTCATATATATGTTTTAGAGTAATAGCATTTTCCTCTCTTGGATTTCTAATTGTCTATCGATCATTGTAGCTATCAGTTTTCTTTGTCCCTGTATTTGTATCCTGCATCAGAATTAGATTGTGAATCTATATCTATATCCTGTATGCACAAAAGGTTGTTTAAACATGAGTTCTTTTGATTTGAATTTATGCAAAAAAGGTTGAGACGACTATGTAGTAGACTTAGTCAGCATGTCTAGCAAGATATCGTGTTCCTGTGTGCCATAGCAAATACAAGTGATTGAAACAGTGAGTGTTCGTGTTTCCATGCTTCAGAAAGAAATTCCTATCCTGTGTGCTACAGCAGATAAAAGTTTTTAAAACTGTGAATAATCATGTTTGCCGCAGGTCAATATGTGTTGGTTAATATCATTGTTATTTGGTGTTGTTTGAAACTATGGATCATTTATGCTTTAAGACTGGAGGAAAATATTAACCATTTGCACTGGTTGCTAAATCTTTCAGACATCAACATTATTGAACTCTATTAAGTGTTCTTTTTTATATGAATAAGATACACAAATGTTTTTAGCCGTAATGACAGATCAACCTCATATACTGTCCTCTATTTTTCTTAGAAGGAAAGAGGTTGTTTAAGCAAGGTTTTCTTTTGTTAACGATGAAACCTAGTGTAAGACAGCTAAATAGGAAATAGTTGGAACCTGAGTTACAGAGGAAAGTACTGGGTTGGGGTGGAAAGATTTGTAAAAAGGTTGATACATAATGGATGGTTATTTGAAATTCTTGGAAGTTCTATGTAGTTGTTGGTCATATATTGTGGGGAGCTCAGCTATATCAATGGTAACTCTTGATGAAAGATCTGATGTAATGGGCAGTTGTCAGTTGGTGGGATTCTTACTCATCTTACTTGCAATTTATTCATTCCTTGTTGTTGATCATTGGAATGGATGACATTTTTGATACAATTCATTTTTTCGATTGTCCCTTTACTTCTAATATTTTTCATTCCTGCTACGAATTTTTGCTTAGCAACCATCCTGTCCTTTAGAATTGTTTTCCAAGAGGCATGTTGTGTTTTTGGTCGCTCCTGATAAAATTGGTGCCAGACAGGTTCAATCTATATAAGGCGAATTTGGCAAAGGAAAATTTTGTTTTAGATTCTTTTTCCTTTTTTCCCTAAAGGGAAGTATACAAATTTGGTTTCTTTAGCTGCAAAATCTTGCAGTTTAGTCGGTAAGAAAAGACGGCAAATTTTTGGCGAGGTGGTGTATTTTAGCCTAAAGAGTTGATGTCGTGGTTTCACTTCAGTATTACTAGGTAATGAATAATGGGTTGGGTTGTGTAGGATAGGTTCGTACCTTGGCTTAAAGATTTACTAATGGAACCCAACTAAAACAAGATCGTCCAGGGCATTCAAGTCGTTGTGAAGGAATTCATAAATAAGCACAGAGAATTGTCCCAAGAAGCTGTGAGAAATTAGAAATGTAGCGTGTAACTGGGAATTTTCAAGTAGAAATGTTATCAGGATGGGGCACGCGTTGTCATTTGTGCTGGCATTAGCATAAATGTTAAAATTGCATTTGAAGCTGTCACCCTGTTAGTTTTATCATCCAATTTGTGTTATGTTTTCAAGCTATTTTCTTACGATCTGTAGGAAGACGACTCGTCAAATTATCAAGATGCTGAAACTGGTGACAATCAATATAATAGTACGGAGGAATTTCAGCAGGTTCTTTCAGTTAGCTTTAACGCTATTTCTTCCTTCAGGATTTTATACATTTGAATTTTAATATTGCAGGCTTGTACTCTGCAGGATAATTTGGAGAAAGAGAACCATGCAGAGGATATTACAGTTCAACAAGAACATGGCAAACTACAGGAAGATAATTTAGAATCCAAGGAACAACAATATGTTCCTCGAAGACCATATCAGAACCAAAGAGGTGGTCGAGGTACTGGGGGTGGCCGTAGGGCTGGTCGTGGAGGTCGAGGCAGTGGGAGGGGAGCTGTAAGCTACCAGAATGGGCAGAACCAATATTATGATCAGCCTGGCAACTATTATTCTAGGAACCAATATAACAACAGGGGCAGAGGCAGTAGAGGCGGAGGCCATGCCTACAACCAGGGCTCAGCCGTTCAGGGTGGTAATCCGTCGGATGATGTTGGAGTTGCCTCATGACAGTGTCCGTCAGATCCATTTTTCCAGATCGGCGATAGAATTGTACTTTTTTGTGCTTTTTGCGTGAAACATGGTTTAAATGTGGGTTGATGTCGATATCGTATATCCGGAACACCCTTTTAACTTCATTTTTGTAGTTCAACTGAATAATATTTATGTGAAGAATCTCCAGGGGATGATGAAATGCCATTTCCCTGTAGATTTGTCAATACAAGGCCGTTGAGCACTTGAGATGCCAAATGCTTATGCTTCCTTCCCGGCTAATAATATATTCCGCAGATGTATCAAACCTAAGAACAATGTCCAGGATAATATTGACTCGAATAGCAATAAACCTGAAAATAATAACTCTGCACAGAATCCAATAAATGTTGACACCATACTTGATAGAAACTTTTGATATATCCACAGCAATACCCCAACACCTCATTACACTCAACCCAAAGCCTTGTGCACAAGATATATCTGTTCCATAAATATTCTTAATCATTTAACAATAAATATTTAAATACTCTTGTAGATGTGCTTGAACATTGGATCTCTAAGAATAATGATTATCCTTTTAACCATTGAGGGTGATTGGTTTATTCATATCTATCATGTGTTAAATTCTTGTAAAAGAATATTTTTATGTGTTGACATCTGCATCTGTATGATTTTATCATTTACATGATTTATGTAAACATGATCCTGAAATATTTATTGTATATTGATTCGTATATTCGAGTTCTGATTCTGCATCACGAAAGCATGTCGTATCTGCTCTGTTGCAGGGAGTTTGTTGCAGGGAGAAGTTTCTAGTGGTTCAACCATATTCTGGTTGATAACTTATGGATACCGGTGTTCTTACAAGCTTCTTGATTTTTGCAGTCTGCTGCACAAGTTTTATGTTCCAAAATGCCAACGACAACATAATTATTACAAGTTCACAGAGAAGGAACTGAAAACAACCTATATAATTCCATTCAATAAATATGCACTAATTTGCAACAAAATCTCGGTGTAAGACCTTAAGAATGGGAATTTTTTAAGTAAATGCGAAAATTTGGAGAAAAATAATTAATCATATCATCAATATCTTGAATTCGAAGAGTTTGGCAGAAACATCTCATCGAAAAACAATCAACTAGGCACGTAAGGAAGCAAGTATCGAGCAGCTTGAAACGATGACCTTCTCTCATAGCAGGATCAGTACTCTCTACAGGTCTTCACCCGACTTATTTCCGGAGAAAACCACAATGTAGGAGCCTCACCGAATACCTTTAGCTATTATAAGAAGAGTTTGAGTAGGATGTACAGAGCATGTTGATTTTGAAGAACCGTGGCATTACCTGGATTTAGCTCACGGATTTATTCCTTGTTTTGCAAAATCTCTTGCCACTGAAACATACAAAAGATAAAAGGTACTGCAAGATGAGTAATGTTGATCACAAGAAACCATGTTATATCCAACTGAGTAAATTCCAGTCAAAAGTTTGGTCTATCACGGCAAGTTTAAATAATTTTCAATGCTCGACATGTACCAAATGATGAAACAACTAGTTTTAGTCTATTTAGCTTTCTAATGCACAATCATACTGATTATGGAATCACTAAATTTAGTTTCTGCAGTAGATTAACTCTGTTTTCTAAGCCTAATCCGATCATATATGCTAATGCTCGCACGAAACATTCATTCTCAACACCTCGCTATATAGCATTAAAGTACCCTCCATTTAGTACAGTTAAGTGCCTATGCTATGAGCAATAAAATTAATCACGGGATAACACTGTAGTTTAAATGACTAAGAATTTTGGGAAGCTACCAGGGAAAGTAGTAAAGAACCTATGTAAAATAATTAAACCTCAAAACAAAATATAAACTAGAGAAGGTAAAATGCCTATCACTTGTGCTTAGACTTAAAACCATATATGATAGATGGGCTTACGAGAAGCACGGAAAACCACTGCACTCCGATAGACATGTTTTCGAGTACTAATCATATACCTCAACACTTAATGCTAAATGCATATTTGATGCTAAGATTGAGAAGATGTGTTTGGATCAACATGATAGAATCACATTTCCGAATTCTTGACAAGTCGACATATGCGATTGTTGTTCATTGCAAGTCACAATCACCAAATAGAACAGAAATGGTAGATGAATAAAACAGCTACATAAGAAGCCATATCGAAATATGAACATAGTGTATCGTTTAAAGCATTGACTTCGTAAGTTCTTGACCTTGAAATTCGGCATGAATAACCAATGGAAGAGAGGGATTTACTATGCATGTGGTATAGAAAAATCAGAGAAGAGAAGTCTAACCCTTTGATGCTGATGGAACTACAACAACATGCATATCTGCATTGTTAGGAGGAAGCTGTAAGCGAAGAGGAAAGAGCTTTCCATTCAAAGGACTGCGAGTACACACCACAACATCATCAAGCCCCGTCTCTTCCTTTAATTTCTGAGTCAGTTCATCAACACCATTACCCTTAAAACTGAAAGAGTATCCCTCAATAGCCTCATCATCAACTTCACCAGTACTATTATCTGCAACATGGAAGTATATTGTTCTTCCTTCGGATTTTGGTGGAGATCCCACATAAGAATCACTTGACTACAAAAAAAATGGAAATCGAATCATTTAAAAACAACCCAATTGAGCCAAAGAGTTAAATTATGTAAAAACGAAGTTTAAAGTTCTGATCTTCAAACCTCTTGTCTTGAAAAATGCCCAGATTTGCCTGAAATCAAAGAAGGTGAAGTGGATTCAAAGTCCAATGAATCTGCATGAGGAAGAGTAGAAGGGAACGATAGCTGTTGATTACTTGCCAGAGGCTTTTCTTGAATCTCCACAATATCAACACCCCACAATACCCAATCTTGAGTAGATGTCCGATGAGGAATATCGTGAGTCACCGAGTTCCTCCAAGGCGGTAACCCTCCATTGCCTCTCAAAAAGTTCCCGTACCGGGTTTTTAGCTTAACCAGAGATCCTTCTCTGATGGGTTCCCACTCGACCGATGAGTCGAGCCTCCTAGGCAGTGTTTGAATCACTTTCCGACCGGTCATCCCAAGTAAATAAGGCTGGTTCGAAGCAGTAAGATACTTGTTGTAAGAGCTTTTGAGGCGGATAATGTTTTGAGAACCGGGCACGAACTCGACGGTCCATCGGGCGTTTTTGGAGGATCCATTTCGGTCTTGAGTGACGGATTCTTCGTCTTCCTCGGCGAGAAGATATTTGTCGTGGTGGCTGCGTAGACGCACCGATTTGGCGTTCAGGAACAAATCCATTACCGTTCCCGTGTTGTTGGATTTTAGCTGGTGAAAACAAAGGAAGAACGAAGAGCAAGTGAAACAACAAAGATTAGATCTTTATATATTCAAAAACTGTTTTTTTTTTCGGTGTCTCAAAAAATGGCGATACTTCCTAGTAAATGAGGGCAAGTGGTGTGAAGCTAGATCCCATGACAGTGGGAGCCAGCCGTTGTAGAAAAGAACAAGCACATACCGGGGAATAACGCGGCAAATTACCTTCATTTTTTATGTCGAGGATTTCGCCTAAGTTTGCTCCGAGCAGTGTTTTACGCACGTGGTGGGTCCATTTTGGGCTGTTTAGATCACCTCTGTCCAATAGTCAACTGTTTCTTTGTTTTGTAAGAACGAAGTAACCCGGGAAAATTAGGATAAATTATATCCGATGATACTTTTGTTTGATATCTTTTATTATCTTGATCGAATTTATAAAATAATATTTATTTAATTTATTTAATTTATTAATAATACATAAATATCATATGAACGCCATTATTGGAATTTAAAATCTCATATCAACATTCTCTTTTTTTATCAGTAGGTCATTCAATAAGTTTATCAATCTATCGATTGTTATATTTTAATTATTTATATTATTATTTATTATAATCAAATTATTGAATTATTAACTTTTATTACATTAATAAAATAATACTAATACATTAATAAGATATATAATTTAAATAGTTTGTTTTTAGTTCGAGCATATCTGATCCACATGTCATAAAGTTAAATGTGAACACAAATTCAATTGGGTAAGATTAATTGGTTTGAGAGTTGTCCTGCCATGAACAATTCTACTAAAATTAAATTGGGGTTGAAATTGATTATATATTTATATATATTATAAATATATTAATTATATTTTAGATTTTGATTAAGGATAAATTTTGATATTATTATTTTAATCCAAGTTAATAATTTTTTTGAGAATTTAATCATTAATATATGATCTATTTACCGATTAATGCAATTAGATTTTACATAAGTGTATTATGGGGTCAATCCTCCCAACTCAGTTTGATCCATTCGCAAACATCAGAATTCAAACTCCTGACCTTATTTAACGAATCTAGTTGTAACACCCTCAACCCATACCCAACCCGGATACGAGTCTGAGGTGTCACATTGACTTTTCAAACATTGACTCTTGACGAAAATCAAGGAAATTTAAAACTTTCATTAAAATAAAAGTGGTTTATTTACATAAGTTGACCAAACTAAAACAAAACCGATCAGAGCATTCGTAACTAACATATTTCTTACATGTCAACACACTATACACAACAAAATACATACTATATCAGTTACTTCTGATATGATCTTCTAGTAGTGACGCTGTCCTTGCCACTCTTAATTTTGTTCTTCTTGTTCCTTGGTACCTACGTGTAAATCACTTACACACTAAGCATAGACTTAGTGAGGCATAATATGAATATATAAATATAACACTAAATTCATGAACATGCATTCTTACCATTTGATCATGACATTTCAAATTACACTATAATATATATGATTATGCCATGCATGAAGCTTATATTCTTATGCCAGTTTCACTTTAATTTATCTTTGGATTGCCCATGTACATTATTGAGAACAGAAGGTACGTGAGTACACCGATGTTGTGCACAATGATGTCACCACAGCTCGAATAAAATCCCACTAAGGCGCTGAATATTTGTCCCGAAGGACCACTATGTCTCGAAGGACCACTATGTCCCGAAGGACCACTGTAAATCCCTCGACTTTTGGCATGCCAATTATACCTACAGCTCTCATATTAAATAACATGTGCTTAATTATAAATACATTCCTCATTTCATATCTCTTTCATCACTGTCCATGTAAACACACAAGTCACTTCATATTATCATTTCCATGATTTCACATACCTGGAATGATTCTCTTATAATGGCATTCATTCATATAATATCATGTTAAAGCATGAATGAATTATGCATGGAATCACTATAACATTAACATATATATATGTATGTATGCATATGCATGAATATGGAATCACAAATTCAACTATAAGAGATAGACTCGTCGCAAGTATTATCTCAATACAATTCTATCTAGGATATGCATTCACCTTAGCCTTGTTTGATTTGACTCGATCTTAATCCTTCGATTGTTTCGGAACAAGATTACGCTCTAAATCTACATCGTAATACATTGATACATATCAGTATACTAATTGATATATTCCAAACTATCACTTCTTACACTAAAAGAAAGGTTATTTTCATCTCTTAATGAATGTATGTATCGATGCACTATGCAGTGTATCGATGCATCCCTTAACATGTGCATCGATGCACTATCTATGCATCGGTACACAAATCACATTCGATATTTCATTTTAAGGGGTGCATCGATGCACTAATTACATTCGATGTTTATTTATTTGAGAGTGCATCGGTACACATTGAAGATGTACCGATGCACACAACCCAGAAATTCCATTTTAAGCACGAAATTCACTATCTTTTCAGATCAACTCTTTATCTTTCACCTCCTTTAATATTCCTAACTTGCATACACATACTTAAAATCATTTCTACTCCATAATCACTTCTTTAAACTCAAAATTCTATCATTTACATGGCATTCAAAATCACACTAAATTTCAAACATGTTCTAATTCCTATTCTAACACTTCATATTCCTTAATTCCACTAATGACAAGTCAAATTTAGTCTTGAAATCTAATTAATACTTTTCTATCAAGATTTCACTTATTCACCTCTTTTCTTTAATCCTTTCTAATTCCATCATCTTTTAAATTTAAGATAACTTAAGCTTTCCTTAAGCTTAATTATCATCCAATAATCATAAACCAATCTTAAATTCAGCAAGAAATGAACTAACCAAGAACTTACTTTGATTTGGACCTTCATGTACAAAGAAGAAGATAGGAGAAGAGAACTCTGGAAACCTTGTGTTTTGCTTCCTTCACTTCCACGTGTAGTATATATATATATATATATATATATATATATATATATATATATCCTTTAATTATTTTCCTTGCAAAAGACCATAATATCCTTCTATTTCTCATTCTTTTCAATTTGATCCTACATAACATTTCATATAAGTCCTTGAACTATTCAATTATTCTACTTTAAATCATCAAATTCCGTAATCTTACAATTTAATCACTAACCCGGTATTGAGGATGTTACAAATCTCCCCTTAAGAAAATTCGTCCTCGAATTTTCATTGCACAAAGAGATGGGGGTACTGCTTCCTCATGCTTCTTCACGCTCCCATGTTGCTTCCTCTACTTTATGATTCCTCCACAAGACTTTAACCAATGGAATAGTCTTGTTCCTTAGTTGTTTAATCTCATGAGCTAATATTTGAACCAGTTATTCTTTATACGTCAAATCCGGTTGAATCTCAATCTCTTCTGGAGTCACAATGTGGGAGGGATCAGATCGATATTTCTGAAGCATTGAGACATGGAAGACATCATGAATCTTTTCCATCTCAAGTGGTAAAGCCAGTTGATATGCCACTGGTCTAACTCTTTTATGATCTCATACGGTCCGATGAATCTAGGACTAAGTTTTCGTTACGTCTAAACCTCAAAACTTTCTTTCATGGAGACACTTTTAAAAACACTTTATCTCCCACTTGAAACTCAATTTCTTTTCTTTTTAAGTCTGCATAAGATTTCTGACTATCAGCTGCAGCTTTGAAATTATTCTGGATCACATGCACTTTCTCTTCCACTTCCTGAATTAATTCAGGACCAAGAACTTCTCGATCCTTAAGTTCATACCAATTTAGGGGTGTACGACATCTTCTTCCATAAAGAGCTTCATAGGGAGCCATTTTGATGCTTGATTGATAACTATTATTGTAAGCAAACTCAGAAAGTGGCAAGTACCTCTCCCACGATCCTTTGAACTCGATAACACAAGCTCTCAACGTATCCTCCAAATTTGGATTGCTCGCTCGGATTGTCCATCGATTTGAGGATGAAACGTTGTACTGAAGTTCAATTGAGTTCCCAACGCTCTATGTAATGACTTCCAAAACCATGAAGTGAATCTAGGATCTCGATCCGAAATAATAGAAACAGGTACACCATGTAGACGTATAATCTCCCTGATATACAACTCTGCATACTTATCCATGGAAAAATTAACTCGTACCAGAATAAAATGAGCTGACTTAGTCAATCTGTCTACAATCACCCATATGGAATCTCTTTTATTTGGAGTTAAAGGTAATCCCGTTACAAAATCTATTGTTACATTCTACCATTTCCACTGAGGAATCGACGTTGGTTGCAATAGTCCTGACGGAACCTGATGCTCAGCTTTTACTTGCTGACATGTCAAACACTTGGATACAAATTCCGTAATGTCCCTCTTCATTCCAGGCCACCAATATCGATTCTTGAGATCCATATACATTTTGTTTCCTCCAGGATGCATCGTCAATGAACTACAGTGAGCTTCCGTTAATAAATCATTCTTTAATTCATCATTGTCCGGAATCTCTAATCTCCCATGATAACACAGGTTCCCATCAGCCTTCATTTCATAATCAGTAAACTCTCCATTCATTATCTGATGTACCTTCTTTGAACACTTTTCATCTCTAGCTTGCAATTCTTTAATTCTATCTAGCCATGATGGCTTGAGAGTCAATTCCGCACAGATATCACCATCTCTACTTAACGATAGTCTGGCTTCATAGCTCATAAGGCTGCAAACGTCTTTCGACTTAAGGCATCCGCTATCACATTTGCTTTCCCCGGATGAAAATCGATCACTACATCGTAATCCTTTAAGAATTTCACCCATCTATTCTATCTTAAATTCAACTCTTTATGAGTCATCAAGTACTTCAAACTCTTGTGATATGTATATAAATAACATCTTTCACCATACAAATAGTGACACCAGATTTTAAGAGCAAACACTACTGTAGCCATCTCCAGATCGTGCGTTGGATAATTCTTTTCGTGCAGTTTTAATTGTCTTGATACATACGCTACCACTTTACCTTCTTGCATTAACACGCATCCCAAGCCATTATAAGATGTATCACTATACACTATAAAATTCTTTCCAGATTCAGGTTGAACTAGCA